CAGGGTCCTCCACATCCTCCAGAGCCGACTCATAGGGCCCCTCGCTGTCGGAGTCTGGTGGCAGCTCCAACGGCTCCTGCTGGGCCACAACACAAGGTCTATGGTTAATTGGAGTTCAGGTAGTCCTGTTTAGTGACTGTTTGAGGTTACAACGGCACTGAAAAAAGTGACTTACAACTGTTTTTCACACTTACAAGGGTTGCAGCAGCTCCGTGGTCACATGATCGAAATTCAGACGTTTAGCAATTGACTCCAATTTAGAATGATTGCAGTGTCCCAGGTCATGTGATCACTTTATCTGACCTTTTGACAAGCAAAGTCAATGGGGAAGCCAGATTCTCTTAACAACTTTGGCAAGGAAGGTTGTAAAATGGGGCAAAATTTATTTAACAAATGTCTCACTTAGCAACAGAAATTTTGAGCTACCTGTAGTGTGTTTCAAACAACACTTTATTTTGAGCACTACACTTTCTGTAATGCTGTGCACCTATGAATCTGGATTTTCGGAATAATAATGCATCCCCAATTCCCATCGATTTCAGCTAACACAAAGAGCAACTATGAACGGAAGTTTTAACCTAGCGATGGAAGGTGCTATAATTAGTTTGCATCACGGTCAGAAGTGGCTGTCGGCTATCATGCTAAATAATTATAATACGCGCAAGGTTCTAATGTTTCTGCATTTTCTCTTATCTCGCATCAAAATAAACCAATATCAAACCATGGGAAGCGAAATAGGCTTATGAAAAATAATCACAGTTAATGTTTAAGCCCAAGAAGCTACGTTCAACAAAAATAAAAGTAGAGCCTTCCGCAGTCTTCATGGTCACCTGACCAGATAGGACAGTGGCAGCGTGCAAGACTGAACTCTTTCTCACACTGCATGCAGTAGTTCAGTGTGATAAAAATTTTTGGACTATAAGAAACACTTTTTTCCCCCCTCCAAAAAAGTGGGTGGAAATGCCTGTGCGTCTTATAGACCGAATGGGGCCCTGTTTTTTGCCTCCCGAACCCTCCACAGGCCCCGTTTTTGCCAAAAACGGCCCTTTTTTTTGGCCTTCTGAACCCTCCTCGTATCCCGTTTTTGCCCTTCCCGGCCCCCAGAAGCAAGCCAAAAACGGGCCCGTTTTTGCCAAATGGGGATGCATGGAAGGCTTGCCTGCACAGTGCTTCTGGGAGGGGGGGGAGGCCGAAAAGGGGATGCGCAGAGGCCCGAAACTTTTTTTCTTGTTTTCATCCTCTAAATCTAGGTGTGCCTTATAGTCTGAAAAATACGGTAGCTATTTGATGGGCAAGTTAGTTGCTCAAGTTTGAAAGACTCTGTGTGTTATTTTTCTGTATTGAGTGAATGGTATGTGGGAATGACTTTGGTAGACAGGAGGAAGAGCCATACAATAGATAACAGTCAGATAAGGAGCAGCTGAACTTGAGGTGTAGCAAATATCTCAGAAAGGACTCGCCCTAATATGGACGATAAAAACAATGGAGAGAAATATACTTTCAGACTTGCAAGATTCTGATGAAGTAACCTTACAATAAAGTAGAATTCAGCTCATCTGGATATGCTTCGTATCTGAACTATCTCACAAGGCTGATAAATCTCATCCTTTTAAGATCGTTTAAGATCTTAAGATCTTATGCCTTGATAAGGGGAAGCCTGACTTACCGCTTAGAATTGCTCTGCGTAGGAGGAAACGGACGCGTCTGCTTCATTGACGGCGAAACCACATTACCTGTGGACACCATGAGAGCCACCGGAGATTTCGTAAAAGTGAAGAAGGCCGAAATGTTTTTCTTGGGGCGGAAGGACAATCAAATTAAGCGTCATGGCAAGCGTCTCAACACCGAGCATGTACAGCAGGTGAGGTAATAGGTAACTATTTAAGAAAAGTTTTTTTAAAACCTTAAAAACAGAAGTGAGTTTGGGCCATGAAGAATCTGGAAGATAGAAATTACCTCAGTTTGTGAGATTACTTCGATATTACTTACATGGAAACAGACCAGAGGCGGTATTCGGCTGGTTCGGAGCGATTCGGGTGAATCGGTAGTGGCGACTTACAAGTGGGCATGCCCACCCACCCCGGCTGTATGCCGTCCTTTTTAGCCACATTTTATAAGCCGTGCACATGCGGGCAAGCTGCGCGTGTGAGCAAAGCACATGCACGGAAGGTTACACACATGCGCAGAAGGTGCGCATGCTCGCGAAGTGGGCGTGCACGCATGTGGCGAACCAATGGTTATACTTATGTGAAACCCACCCATGAAAAAGACTGTTAGCTACCCCTAGGTTTTGAATACTATCATATTCTCCAGCTTCCATCTGTATTACAACCTAAGGGATACCAGAAAATTTGAAAATAAAAAGGTTAGAAACCCATACATTGAAAAAAAAAAACTAGGAATACACCTTAGAAAATATCTTTAAGAGCCATGGTGACATTTGCACTCAGGCCACCCAGGGGCGTCCCTGACACGAGTGACGTCACGTTGACCACACCCACCCTGGCCGCACCCACCCCACCCACCCCGAGGTCAAACCCAACCCAGAGGCGGCCCTCAATGAAATCGAGTTTGACACCCCCTGGCCTGTGCTTTCATGGGGACTGAAAAGTTACTTGAATTACAAGGGGAAGAAAAATCATCGTCATGGCTTTCTGCAGTTTTGCCCGAATCATCCGTGATTTTATTTTGCAGGTTGCAGAGAGCCTCTGCACAGGGGGAACCTGTGCCTTGATATGGTACCAGGAAGAAAAATTAATTCTGTTCGTTGCCCCCAAAGCTGTTTCAAAGGGGCACCTTTTAAAAAAGCTCCAGGAATGTCTCCCCAGCTATGCAATTCCAGATGAGGTTTTGCCAATTGATACTTTGCCATTCACATCCCACGGTAAATATGCCTATCTATGCCTACTGTACGTCTATTTGATTATATTTATTTCTTAAATTTTATAAGCCCTAATTAAGACAGAACGACACAAAACCAGGCGAGAACAAGCGTACTGATAGAACACCAGTTCCACCAGATCCAACATCGCACAAGGGAGCCATCTGCCACTCTTGCTCATTAATTCAGAGACCGATTGGGTGTTTTTCCTCGGCTTCCAGATGCAAATAGCATTTTATTGGAACATCTTGTTACGAAAATAGCTTGCTTTTTAGGGCATGGGGAAACCTAGGAGAAGCCAAGTCAGTCTGATTATGTGCCATCAAGTCAATGTCAGTTCTTATACGGATCACAGGCAGAAATTTTCTCCAGGATGACCTGTTTGTGTGTCGTCCTGCATATCTTGAAATGCACTCGCAACCACTGTGATACTTTGATACTCTGTCCATTCATGTATCTTCTGGTCATCCTCTTTTTCTTTCCACCTTCCCCAGCATTATGGACTCCTCGAGGGAGTTGAGAATATGTCTAAAGTCTGATCCTTTGTTCTGGTTATTTTTTCACTCAAGTGAGAACTGTGGATTGGGTTCCACCACAAAACCGCGGACGACAAAATCGCGCTCGACGAAAGTGCGTACGTGACGTCATCACAGCGCGACGAAAACATCGCGCTGTAAT